TGCCGACGGAATACCATCTGGAGTAACGAAAGTATCTAGTACCTGTATGTGCGGAAGACCTTGCTAAAGAAATAAATCAACATTTCGAGCTTAACCAGTTCCCTGAAAATTTCGTCAAAGCCAAAACCATCCTCCTATACAAAAAAGGTGACCCATTGAACATCAGCAACTACAGACCAATCTCCCTATTGTCAACTGTCCTTAAAGTTCTTACCCGTGCGCTGGCTCGTCGTGTGGAAGAAGTGGTTATGGAGTTCGTTCCACAAGAACAAGCTGGATTCAGACGTAGCTTCTCCACCCGTGACCACATCATGTCCGTCAACTTACTAATTGAGAAATGTCGTGAATGGAGGAAAACCGCTTCACATGGTCTTCATTGACTACCGAAAAGCTTTCGATACAATCGAGTACGAAGCAATTTGGAAAGCTTTGGATAAGTTCAAAGTAGATGACTGCACAGTTCGAATGATAAAACAGCTGTACGCTGCTGGACGATCGTTTTTGGCCCTGGACTCGATAGAGATGGAGATCAAAATTCAACGAGGTGTCAGACAAGGCGATTCGTTATCTCCTCTGTTGTTCATTTTGACTCTGCAATCGTGCCTTGATGACATTGACTGGGATGGCCAGGGTTACCCCATTGAGCAGTATCACCTCAGCTATCTCGCCTACGCTGACGATATTTTCCTGTGTTCGCCAACGGTCGATGGACTACAAAGCATGCTCAATAAACTCATTGGTGCGACGAAAGTGGCCGGACTTGAAGTGAATACAAGCAAAACAAAGTGGATGTCCAGCAACCCTAATGGACAGCATCTCAGAGCCAACGGAGAAGAAATTGAGCTGGTATCTTCCTTCGTGTATTTGGGCCAACTCATATGTTTCCCTCAGGATCGTGGACAAGAAATCAGCCGGAGAATCAGCGCTGCGTGGAGCATCAACAGAAAAGTTCGAGCCCTATTGAAAAGCAGAATGACGCCACTGATGACCAAACGACGCTTCTTCCACACATGTGTGATACCAACTCTACTGTATGGATGTGAAACGTGGGCCCTAACCAAAGCAGCAGAGGATCGTATAAGAAAATGCCAACGACGGATGGAGCGCCAAATGTTAGACCTCCGACTTCGCGATAAGGTATCGAGCGTAGCAATACGAGCAAGGACCAAACTGAAAGACGCTGTCATCGAAGCCAGAAAGCGCAAGTGGATTTACGCAAATAAGTTAATGACAAGAGACAGGACGCGATGGGAAGTGCGGCTGATGAATTGGAAGCCCTGTGGAAGCAGATCAGTTGGACGACCACGAGTGCGGTGGGAAGACGATTTCAAGATGTTCGCGGGAGCAGACTGGCAGAACACGGTGACGACTTCTGAATGGTTCCAGATCATGGCCCGTTTCTCTGTTTCGTATTGAATAACCGTAAGATAAATGCTAAATGTAACCCTGTAAAAAATTAAATTAAGGACAGAGTGCTCTAAATACAGGCGCGGCGGGGCAAACCAAACTCACTATCCCTATTTACCACTTCAAAATTAATTTTAAAGTTAACACGTTGCAGAACCAAACCAAATGAGCTTAACTGAATGTTAAAGAGCACAGTCGTCTACTCTATTGACCAGGATACATAGCAGCCTTCTACACCGATGACATTAGAAGATTTTCATGCGGAAACATGGTTCACGGTTCGAGCTCGTCGAGGTACCATAGACCATTAAGACATCTCCTGGAACGCTGGTCAAAGCGGTCTTGCACAGTCACAGCTAGTGTCTCTAGAAGCTATTCACCACTAATCGGTTGAAGAAATTATGTAGCAGCTTCAGGCCGGAGCGATTACGGTAAGCCTCGTTGAGCTCGACGGTGACGGCAGATGACGTCATATTCTGGAGACGGCAGGGGCAGTGAAGGAGGGCTCTGCTTCTGCTTACGGAGGAACACCTAAGGAATATTTTTCCGGCCTAAAACACCCATTCATGACGGTGTCTTTGTGCCGACCGTCTGAATAAAATTTGCTGACGTGGCCAGTGAGAAACATGACCAGTTTTTGCCCCCTGCCAAGAGTAGGGATTGAAAAACTTCATCAATGGAGGCTCTTCTTAACGTGTTCAATTTCAAAGTGGTGCACAGATACTTTTGGACCACAATTTTATATCTTTGATCACCGGTAGACATCGTACGTTCGTAATCGCTTTCAACAGGGCAAAACTCAACCGAATAATTCCGATCCTGTTCAGCCTATGCGCGCGCCATCGTTCCGTAGAGCTTACCAGCTTAACAGAAACGATGACGAGAGTTTGTGGCAACTGTGTAGAGCGCATATATGATCTCATTGGAACTGACTGGCGGCTATACTAAGGGCATCCATTCGAGCATTCTCATAGGGCAAAACGTCGTGGCTTACTCGCATATCAATTCATTTGACGAACGTTCCGGCTAAAAATTTTTCCCCTGCATCATTTAGGTTTTTCGAGTATTGACATAAAACCTGTATCTCGCTCCCCTGATAAACTTGATACTGCGCGAAGTCACAAAAATGTTCGAAAGCTCTGAATATTACAGGTTTGCTCTAAACGGCACTGCTCAGATGATCAAGGCTCTGCTCCTTCTTGTAGTTCTTCTCGACATCACCTTTAGTTTTTCTGTGGAACGCAAAGTTGCCCTGACGGAGGTAAGCAACTATAGAAGTTCAGATTCTTAGGAAAAACTCGCGGCTAACAGGTCTCCTGGCGTGCTTACTGCTCTGGTGTGTGACGAATCACATAAAAGCGCCTCTTTATCATACAACGTCAACTGTGCGTTGCAGAGTTCTCAATTAGCGCGTTCGTATTAGAGGAAGGTGAAGGTTGAAATATTGGAAGGAGGGAGTCATTTCAGGAAGTTGGAGGGGTCGTGGCGGATTGTTCTAGATAGTTTTTTGGACGGTCGCAAATAGAGTGTTCGCAGCTTATTAGAATGAAATCACTGGTCACCTCCGTCCCTTTCCCTTCAAGCAATACGTTCTTGGTGGTAGGAGAAAGATGGAGCGGAGTTGAGTTGTGTGTCGACTGATTCTCAAAGCAAATACACAGCTAAATAGTATTGATATGTGAGGGGAGGAGTTGGTCGGTGGAGAGCTGGATGCCATATCCCTACAACTCGCCCCTATAAAGTCCTAGTAAGTGTAGTAATTAGAAATTGTAATCGAACTTCTTAAGGGGATTCACTCTCAGAGGGGAATAATTGTTATATGGTCTCATATGAACAAACGCCTCGCACATCAGGAACTAAACATCCACTGCGCACAGGCGCTTTCCTCCCAGCCTTTAAATAGGTGAAGTTCTGTGATACTGTCATCCAAAACCACTCCTTTTCGGCACAGCTTCCTCGCATATATTCTTAAATTATTGTGGCTGCCGGTGCCGCATGTTCACGGTTGTTGATGGATTCTTTTGTGGTTTTGGTTGAGTATTTCATAGTTTCAACAAGACGGTATCACATTTCATTACTAACGTTTCGTCCTGGTCGTCTTCGTCGGAGCCATTGTCAGAGTCAGGGATTAGAACATAATAGCTTTTCTTTCGTGTTCTTCAAGGCATGTACTTCACTGGATCAGCATAGCACCTCTTGTGCACTTTCTTAGGACGTGTGTCTCGGAAGCAGTGGTCATGATTGCTGAAGGGCGGAGGGTCTTTGGTGTCGTCATTGGTCTTCAGATGACACCATTGATCAGCAGATGCTCGTGTGGTTGCGACCTTCTCGTAACACCACTTCAACCAATGACTTCTAATGACGTGGTCAGGGCGCAATGCTCTCCAGCCATCGATCACTGCCTTGGAATTTTTCGCAATATCAAAGTCACATCTTTTTTAAAGCGAGAAATTACGATAAAATTTCTGTGCAGCATGGAAGAACGAGCAGCACTTCAAGCAGTAGCTAGAGCCCAAAGGAATCGAGATGTGGCCTTTTTGTGACTAAAGGTGCGCTCGTTGCAGCGCCCTGGGGCTGCCAATCCTTTCTGAGCTCCGCCTCCGCCTGTGCTCCGCCCCTCAGCAGATCGCTGTTCGATTATCATTCTGATAAGGTATGCCACTTCGAGCGCGTATCCAATTTTTTTCTCATGGAATGCTATATCAATCAAGGTATGATCTCTGGTGGTATGATGGCAGCTATGGTTTAACGAGTGCCGACGACCTCTTAGTTTGGTGACCCCCAGGAGGCCCGTCGCGCGGCAAGAAGGCAGAGTCGGCGGACGAGTTGCAGCGCGTGGTGTGCGATGTAGGACGTGCAGTGGGACACTCTATTTCAACTTGACGCGAAATCCCTATAGTACGCGCGCGACTCGTCCGCTGACTTTGCCTTCTTGCCGCGCGACGGGCCTCCTGGGGTACCCCCCTCTTAGTTGGTTGCCAACTCGTCCATTATCGGAGGTCAACGGGCAGAGGAAGTGGTCCCATTTTGCGCGTTTTTGACGGATTTCTTTGCTTTTTTCGCTACTAGGGCATTATTCAGCATCTTCACTTCCACTATGAGCACAACAGAATCCTATCGCAATCTCTCGCTTTAAGTAATTTTGCATTCCGTTCAGAGAAATTGCATTTGATAAGGGAAGGCGCTACGGACGCAAAGGTGAATTGGAAATGGCAAGCTTACCAAGCGACCGATTCGTGGATTGAATCCTGAGTCATGAGTCGCCCGAGCCAATCAAGCTTCTATCCCTCCGGGGTCGGTTAATTGGTACCAGACTTGTCTGGGAGGATAAAAAACACTGACTTGAACATCGGCTGGCCCCCGCAAGTCATTGTATAGGCCACATCGCATTCAAATGCCACTGCGAATGTACAAATGGAAGTAGAATGCGTGCCGCATCCCAAAAGGGATTGATCAACGGCAAATGCTTTATCCTTTATGCTTTAGGTAGGGAAGCTCTACTTTATTCGGTGTGGCTCAAAGCTGTTTCTGCAGCCAGGAGAGAGACAAGTTAAATTTTAAGCGAGCTTGGCGATTATTTGCTGCTAGAAAAAATGCCTGAACATCTATTGAAGGCAGCAGATGGAGGAATCAGTACATCCACTTGGGCGTGTGCGCCAAACCGGCCGGGGTAGACACACGCGTCAAGCGTCAGCGCCTGCTGACCCTGCTGCTCGTTGAGAAACAGCAGTTTATACCTATTTCGACGAAGAACTTATAAGTAACGATCTCAAATTCTCCACTTCGTGGAGCAACCTCGAGGCTAATATCACATTGCTTAGACGATGCAGTGTTGCTACTAAACTCGGCTGACTACCTTCGCATGATCGTACGTGCACTTCAATTTTGTGGAGAATGCCCACGTTGCACCGAAATAGCATAAAATGCTCCCAAGCGAGCAATTCCTGTTCATCAGCACTATATGGAAGTAAAGGAGGGAACAAATAATGATCGTTGCCCCCAACCTTGCAAATAGCGTGGGTTTTCGAAATTGACCAGTCGAGGTAGCCCAAGTGGGTCACCTGACGTGTCTTAGCCTTCTGAGTCAGCTTTCAGATAATAGAAGAAAGGGAAGTTGCTCAGGAGAGCGCTTATTCAAAACGTGTTCTGTTACATGGTTAATATACTGGGCACACACTACGTGGCGTCTGAAACTGGAGACATTTTCTCCCTTCTGATCTGCCCTGGGCTGGCCACGATAACAGGCTTGAACAAAACGTCTCCTAAGAATAGAACATCTTTTACATTCTCTAGCATACTCTACCCCACCATTTGTACCATGGATTGGTTGCAATTATGGAAAGGTTTTGATCAGTGAGTGATCAGCTTTAGCACATACTCGCCGCGAGAAAGTGGAAAGCAGATGAATTCGAATGTTTGTTTCATAAACCAGAGTTACTTGGGCCATAACAAACTTTCGCACGCCAGACGGGACTCGAATCTCGTTACCTTTGTCTTACCGCGGGCCAGAGGCGCTTGACGAGTTACGGCTAGCCGGGCCCATTGATTCCAACGCCCAGTTTTTTCAATTGCTCTATCGCTTACCAGTCCCGTCTGGGATGGTCTAAGCGCGAATGTGTCGTCGCCTTCGTTCAACTACTCCTATCAATGTTATTGCCACGCCATTCCTTCCCATCGCTGTCAGCGGAGCTAGATCGTTCATCATATTGATTTCCCGACCTAGGTACACGTAGCTGGAGCATTCGGTGATGTTCGTTCCGTTGAGCGTGAATGGGGCATCAGAAACCAATCCGTTTCTCATAAACATCGTCTTCGTTAGGTTCAGCTGTAGACCAACCTTACCACAGGCGCAGTCGAAATCAGCCAGCATTCGCTCCGCTTGCTCGATGTTCGGCGTTATAAGAACGATGTCGTCAGCAAAACGAAGGTGGTGTAGTTGCCGGCCGTCGACCTTCACTCCCATGTCTTCCCATTCCAGTTGACGCATGACGTTCTCGAGAGCGGCGCTGAAGAGTTTGGGCGAGATGGTGTCGCCCTGTCGAACCCCTCTCTTGACGTCGATGATGACCTCCTTGTAGAATGGTGAGATTCTAAAGTTGCTGTAGAGCTCACGAAGAATCTTGATGTACTGAGTAGGGACGCCCTGGTTGCCCAAGGCTTCGATGACCGCTTCTGTCTCCACAGAGTCGAAGGCCTTCTTCAAGTCGATGAACGTGAGACAAAGCGGCATCTTGTACTCTCGTGAAACTTCAATGAGTCTTGTAACCGTGTGGATATGGTCGATCGTGCTGAACCCTCTTCGGAAACCCTGCTTGCTCGCATGGCTGTCCTTCATCTAGTATTTCTGCCGATCCTGT